TGTCACCCAGTGTCACCCTGCTAGTGGCAGAGCTGGGAGTCAACCTCAGCTGCAGGCCCCCAGGTTCCCCCTGCAGGAGGCCCCATCTGACCCTCTCCAGCCCGTCTACCCACCACCTCCACCCACCTACAACCCCAACTTCCCACCCCCACCCCCTCGCCTGCCCCCCACCCATGCAGTTCCTCCTCACCCTCCTCCAGGCTTGGGCCTGCCGCCAGCTAGCTACCCTCCTCCTGCTGTCCCCCCTGGAGGACAGCCACCTGTGCCCCCACCCATTCCCCCACCCGGCATGCCTCCAGTTGGGGGGCTAGGGCGGGCAGCCTGGATGAGATAACGCGAAGCCTTTTTTCCTTTTTTTTTAAACGAGTTTTTCTAATCAACTTGAGTAGTTTAAGTGGGTAAGCAGCAGGGTACCTTGTATAATGCTAGACAGTTGCAGTATGGGAAGAATGGACATGACCCCTGGGATGAAATTGGGGTGGTCCTCACATCCAGAAGATGGGGACAGGTGGCTTTCAGCGTAGGCTCGGCAGCACCAATCGCAGCCTGACTGTGTGCTTGGTTTCAACCAATGTAGTTTGAGAGTCCTGCACTGGGTTACTTTATACTAGTGAAAATGTTAACCAGCCATATTGGCTCAATAAATAGCTTCAGTAAGGAGTGAATTTCCTTCTAGAAAACAGTGCCTATTTTTCCTGGAAACTCAATTTTAAATAGTCCAGTTCCATCTGAAGTCAAGCTGTTGTCATCATTCTCATTCAGTGATGTTCTTTCCCATGACACCCAGTAGGTCAAATGAACCACTGTTTGGTTTATAGATATCTGCATCCTTTGTATTAAAATTATTTTGAAGGGATTGCCTTGTTGGATGGCTTTTTTCTTTTTCCTCCAGGGAGAAGGGGAGAATTGTACTTGGAAAGTAATGTATGTTTACATCTATTTGCAAATTCCTGTACATAGAGATATATTTTTTGAGTGTGAATGTAACAACATACTGTGAATTCCATCTTGGTTACAAATGAGACTCCTGCACCTAACTCCTTCAGTCAGTTATCCGAATAAAATCAGATCTGAAACTGCCCCCTTTGTTTGTTATGGTCGGAAGGTGGGGCTCAAGGTCGAAGCAGCCCCTGGGTTACGAAATCTTCTTCAGAAACACATTTCCTTCCTCTGGACCCTGAGGACCCAGGAGCAAGGAGGACGGCTGCCGGCTTCAGTCCACCAAACCATAGCGCTCCTGTCTGCCCAGGCACCCTACACAGAACATACAACACTGGTTCCTAAGTTAGATGAGGGCTTGGATTTGACAGCTTTTCCATTTCTGGCCTGTGACAGAGGCAATTGCAGTAGCAGCTAGTGGCCTCCGCCGTCCACCCTGAGGGGCCAGGCTGGCTGTCCAGGGGAGGGGTCGTGCACTAGGCTGGATCCCCATCTGAGGTGTGGAGGGGCCTCAGCCCTGCTTCTTCTGCCCAGCGACCCAACCCGCCCACCCACAACGGAAACAAGCACTGAGCACCCAGCCAGAAGGCTCGCAAAGAGGCCTTTATTTATCTAGTTCAAAGTATACACTATCACAATCTTATTTATTACTCCTTTACTAAAATAGTTCAAATCAATGTTTTTACCACACTATCAAAAAGTTCTATTTCTTCTCTCCCCAGATCAAAGTGGTTCAATAGAAGGTAAAAACAGCCCCAGGAGTCCACAGACCCCAGCTCTGCACGGAGCCAGGGTGGGAGGGGGTGGCTCCAGGTCTCACTATGGTCACATTCTACAGAAAATAGAGCATAGCTGCTGGGGCCCTAGGACAGAAACCAGACGTTCCAGCCCATTTCTGAAAAGCAGCACAAATACTTTCCCCTCACAGTATGAAAAATATACACCTCTACCGCTCTGCAGTCATGCATTTAGTTTGTTTCTTTAAAAAAAAAAAAAATCAGTAGTATGTATTTTGTTTCCTCTCAAGTTTCAAGAAAAAAAAATGAAAGGTCACTTTTTTCTCTTTAAACACTGATGTATAGCTAACAACTTTTGGATAAAAATGTGCCAACCTAAAAAATACTCAGCAGATTCTGATTCCAGGATGGGCTTGGCCACCGGGGCTGGGGCTGGAAGGGTGACACCCATCACATTGGGAACTGAGGCCGCAGTGCAAGCATCACCTTGGACTTCGAGATCTAAAATGGGAGCATTTGGAATGGAAAGGGGCCTTTATGAAAGGACACCACCAGTCCCACCCCCACCTGGGGCTTTCAGAGCTAAGGCTCCAGAAGGCAGGGGTCACCCAGTGTCACCCTGCTAGTGGCAGAGCTGGGAGTCAACCTCAGCTGCAGGCCCCCAGGTTCCCCCTGCAGGAGGCCCCATCTGACCCTCTCCAGCCCGTGACTGCACCTGCCAGCTATACCCAGGTACGTGGGGTTAGGCAGAGTCACGGTGGCTTTTTTAAAAATCTGCCATTACATTTGAGATGTGACTGTCGCAGATACAGTTCTGTCCTAGGAAGCCATTCCAACACGGTGTTGGCTCAGGGGACACCAGCTTGTGCTGCCTCTGTCACAGACTGGAGGGGTCTTCTCAAAGAAATGCCCCACTGATCGCTGGGTGCCACTACATCATTAGAGACAGGGTTCCTCCCCTCCAGAGGGAAAGGTCGCTTTAAGGATGTTCTTCCCTGGGCCAACATGCAGGATATCTGCAGATACCAGGAGTCCTGACTTATTGCTTATTTTAGTGGTGGCCATGCCAGCCTGAACCAAACATGACTCACGTGGGCTCCCAGACTTGGCTCCCTCCCAGGACGGACCCACATCCCCTCAGGGCTGCTCTGAGGTTCTCTGGACTCCAAGACCCAGAAGGGACCCCAGCCCAGCTACCCACTCAGGCAGGAATTGCCCAGTGTCATGACCAGTGGGTGTTCATCCAGCTTCAAGTGCACACCCCTAGTGACAGAGAGCTCACCACCTGAGCAGACGGCAGGCTCCTTCCGGAAAGCCTAAAGAGCTACCACAGCAAGAGCCGCATGCTCATCCCTCACCAGCGCCTGCCTTGCACTCCCTGGGCACAGTGAGAGCCCTGAGCCTTTCCCCTGAGAGTGTGCAACCCGAGGGCGCTGATGGCAAACAGACAGTGGGAACCGCTCTGGGTAGACTCCCAAGCTGGGGAGAGCGATGGGGAAGCCATCTTCCCTCCCCTTGCTCTGTCCCCGTCCTACACTCAGGCCTGAACCAGACCTGCTTGATAGGAAGACAACCTCTTTGGGTTCAAGTGCTTGCTGCATGAAGCTCTGGGTACCACTGGAAGAGTGAAGAAGGCTGCTGGGGCAAGGGACCGAACAAGATGCCAGGGGCTGCTGACAACGGCATTGACGGATGTCGGCGACATGGCCTGTCCCTGCACTACAGGTTCTGGGATCTCAATTGTAATGTGCCACAAAATCACCCCCTCTGGGCCTCATTTTCCTCGCACACAAAATTGCTTATCACACTTTACAGTTTATATATAGTCATTTACATTGAAGGTCTCATGTGATCCCCAGAGCCCTGTAAGGAGGCTGAGGATGCTGAGGCTCAGAGAGGGGAGGTGACTGTCTACCTGTAGTGAGACAGCAAAGCAGCAGAACTCACAGCAGCCTCTCCAGCAAGTCGACCCCATCAGCTGGCGTGCTGTGTATGAGGACTTATGTCGTCGAGAGCTGGACAGCCTCAAACAGTGAGCAGGGCTGAAAGGAACCTCGGAAACCCCATTTTTCCACCAGAGGCCCAGAGAGGCTGAGTGACTTGCTGAAGGTCACACAGTGAATTAAAGCCAGCACCAGGGCAGTCTCCATCCTTCCCAAGAACAACCATCACTACCTGTGGCCTCTGCATCTCTGTACACAGTGACTGGGCCCTGGGAGAGCCCACAGACAAACAGAGGCCCTGTTGTGACCCACTGCTACCCATCTGGATAGAGACATGTGGCTTAGCCCAGACACCCTCCACAGGACCTTCCTGTGTTCCTGACCCATCATATAAGCCACAAAAAAGAATGTGCCTCAGGCCCTGAGCAGGAGGAACCCAAAAAACAGGGCACAACCTGGCACCAGGTAGGGGGACATTGTAGAGTATGTGTGTTTTGGGGGTATGGAAACTCTGAAAACAAGCAGCAGCTGGCATCAGGGCAGCTGGGCATGAACCCCTGGAGCAGCAGGGGACCCTGAGCTTCCAGAGCTGAGGGTCAGTCAGAGGAAGGACCTGGGAGCCCCAAGAGCAGCCTCCAGCCAGCCATGGACACAGTGAGTTTCCTTGTCCACGACACAGGGGACCCAGTGCTTGGTGAGCCAGGATCCAGGTCACAGCAGGTGGGCAAGCAGTGGTGCCATCTGTGTCAGGATCCACGTATCGGTGGCCTCTGTCCACAGGAGGCAGCTGGGGTGGTGGGGTGGAGGGCTTGATGAGATTCTGTCCATAGAGGGCAGGACAAGGAAGCCTGGGTCAGTCCCTGGGCCTGGTATCTTAGAAGCAGCCGTCAGCCTCTCACTAGTGGGGCCCAGGGCCCAGAGAGGGAGTGAGGCTGTCTGGGCCACTCTGCCGCGGGGAGCAGTGGTCAGTGGCTTCTCATCTTCCCAGTTTGCTGGTGTGTGAGGCGGGAGATGAGGCCTGGCCATCAGCGTGGCAGACCTACAGCAGCCAGACCAGGGCGGACAGCGTCCTACGTACGTACAGTTCACCATAGAGAAGGGAGACTGGCTCAGCCGGAGGTCCTGGGGCCTGATGCTCCCCTGGGGCCCCTAGGCAGAGCCAGTGCATGTCCACAGAAGAATGGCCCTACAAAGGCCCCTTGAACTGGTTACCAGACAGGTGCTGCCGGATGGAGGGCTTGGAACTGGCAGCATCTCCCAATTTTCTCCAGACCACCTGTGGGGAGGGGAGAGATGTGAGTGGAGGGCTCACCCCCAGCCCACCTGCTGGCCCCTGCACACCAACTGCCTCATCGCTCTGCAAAAGTGAGCACCTCCTCAGAGCTGTGGGGCCAGGAGGGGAAACTGAGGCCAGGGAGGCCCAGAGATGCATACCCACCCTCATGGTCACACCTGCCCTCCTGAGCAGCTCACTGCTGGGGTGTGGGCTCAGCCCCACGGCTGTCCAGTGGAGCCTATGGACCCCATCTTGATAAGCTCCTGCTTGAGACCCTGTGAACCCCTTTCCTGCTGGCTCCAGCAAGGGTCCAAAGAGACTGCAGGGAGGAGGATCCCTCCTACACCTCCAGCTGAGCATCACCTGCACGGCCAGCAGCCCCCAGGGCACCAGCAGGCTGGAGGCCTGGGTGCCAAACACCCAGGGCCAAGGGGCCAGACACCTGGAGTGAAGAAGACCAGTCCTGGGGGGGGTGGGACACTCCAACTATCCAGTTCCCTAGCCAGGGTACTCCTGAGGATATGCAGATCAGCAGAGGGGGACAGTGGGGTGATGACAAACCAAGGCTCCAGGAGCCCCCAATCCCCGCCCCCCCAGTCATCCAGCCATAGCTGAGCAGGGAGGAAATGGAGCCCCACAAGGGGAAGGGCGTGGCCAGGCTGGGCGCCCTGCCCACACTCCCAGTGCCAGGCCCTGCCCCTCCCCCGGGAAGCGCCTCACGTTGCACATCTCACGGACGATGGCCTTCTCCTTCTCACTCAGGTCCTCCTCGCAGCTGTCCTGGAGCTGCCGGTCCAGGTTCTCATGTACCTCCAGGACCTGAAGGGAACAGGTCACACACATGTGGTATGTGTGTCAGTCACTGCCAGTGCAGGTACAAGCACAGGCCGTGTCCACGCATGTGTGTGTGTGTCCCTAGGGCACGTACAAGGGAAGGGAGGGGGCACAGGAGTGGGGGCGGTGCTCGGGTGTGCGAGTGTGCCCCAGGAGAAACCAGAGACTCATCGGACCTGCCCACCTGCACCTGGACCTGCACGGCGGCAGCTGCACTGAAGGCCAAAGGCTGGGCCTGGGAGACCTGAGCCCAGTTCTAGCCCCACTCCTGCTCCAAATATCTAGCTTTGGGAAGCATCTGCCTTCCTCCCACCCAGGCCTCAGTTTCCACAGCTTCAGGAGCTCAGGGATGGCAGACAGGTGAAACACTTGTGAATGCCACCCAGCACCTCTTAGTCCCTGAGTCATGGCCACCCAACCACCCACACAGAAATAAATCTCCCACCCCTGCTGCTCAGAAACCCCCAGACTCAGAGGGCACATATAGAGTCAAAGGTACCACAGTCCCACAGTGCACCCGGCATCTGGGGGCTCCTGAGGGAGTGGGCAGTGGCCCTTACCTTCATGGCATGCACAACAGCCTCAGGCTTCTGTCCCACAGAGCTGTAGCCAGCAGAGGGGGGCGAGGGCAGCTCAGCCACAGGGCAGGCTGGGCCCTGTGGGAAGGAATCACATGTCTTAGCTCTCCCAGGTCAGCTCCAGGTGACAGCCCCAGGTACGGGCAGTGGCTCAGGGAGACCCCTGATTCTGTGGGGTCAGGGCACAGACAGGAGGAAATGGGGACTGGGGTGTTGGGGGGAGAGGAGGCAGGTGTGAGGACTGGGCACCTGAGGAGCCCCAGCCTCGTCTGGCTGGCCCCTCTCCTCTCTACTGCACCCGCTCTTCTGCAGATACAGTGGTCCTTGCAGGGCAGAGGCAAGAGGGGTGGTCCAGAGCCCTAGCCACATCCCATAGGCTCACCTACGACAGCCACGCACAAGATCTGTGATCTGTCTTACAGAGGAAGCAAGTGCGGTTTGGAAGGGCAAGAGACAGATCGCACAGCTGGATCAAGAAGGCATTGACCCAGACCCCACTAGGTCTGACCCCAAAGCCCCTTCCCGCTTCCCACCCCAGCAGCTGGTGGATGATGCCAGCTCCAGCCCATCCTGGGCCCTGCCCCCCAGCCTTTACCCTCCTGGCCCTGTCTAGGTCACCTGGGGGTGAACTGGACACCAGGTGTGCAGCTCCCACATCAGGCCTGGGAATGGGGCGTCAAGGACTGAGGGGTGAGGCCAAGCGAGCAGGGGACCCAGCCTGTCAGAAGCCAAGTGTCTGCTCAGGGCCAGGGCACCTGGGCCCCACCCCCCAGCTTCCCTCCCACAGGGTACAGGTTGCTGTGAAGCAGTGGGGACTCACTGGGGGCGCCCAGAGGGCCAACAGGAGTCAGGAGGTCCTAAGGCACTAGGAATGGGCTTGAAGGGGACCAGCAAGTGCCAGAGGTCAGGCAGGAAATACCAAGAAGAGCCCCAGTGAGCACGTGAGCAGGGAGAAGACACAAAGCCAGGGTTCCAGGATGTCTGTGTGGCTCCCCACGGAGCAACCCTGGGCCAACCTTGGAAACTGAATCTATTTACTTCTCAATAAGTGGGGTCCCTGATGACTCCTGCCAGTGGCCTGCAGACAGTGAGCCGGGCTGATGGGGGCATCGCCCTAGAACCCAGCCCAGCCAAGACCCACACTGCAGAACCACCACAGTGCCTGGGCCAGGCTGTGCAGTTACCCTCAGGTCCCAGAACCTTCCACTGGCCTGGCAGCCAGCCCCTCTGCACACTCCCCACTGACCCTGGACTGAACCCTGCTCCCAGGGCCTTAAGGGCTGACCCGCTCCTGGCTCCACATGGAAGCCAGGCCCCAGCCCCCCGAAACTAAGGCAGAACCAGAGATCTGCCACCTCTGCAGGCCCCACAGCCTTGGGGTCTGAGAAAGCCAAGCTTGTGCAAGCTTCCACTGGCTGTGACCTGGGGCAGGGCCCAACCCACTCTGAGCCTTGGTTTCCTCATCTGGACAACAGAAAGGGGCCTTTGACCCAGGGTGTGTGCACAGTCCAGGGACACTTCCGGACTCTGTTTCCCTAACTCTAGCCTAGGCCACCTGGTCTCTGGTGCCCAGGCCAGGTCTGTCCTGTAGGGAAACCAAACTGGGTGGCAGGGGGCTCTCCTTGGGAGGCGGGGGTTCTCATTGGGCAGCAGCAGGACGCTGGCCCCAACTTGAGGCAGAAGCCCACACTCCCCTCACTGACCAGCAGGGGTCGCCAGCCACATGCACACGGCCCTGGCACCTTCCCCTTGAGAGTATATACCCTCCAGCACCCAGCCCTGCCTCAGAGGAGGACCATGTGCCATCTGGCCCTGGCACCGTTGGCCTATGTCCCCATCTTACCAGGCCCCTGACCGCCTGCTCCATAAAGCACCGGCTCCAGGGGGCCGTGATTCCTGGAGCAAAGGCGGGAGGGAAGCCAGGAGAGGTGGGGGTGGACTATGCAAACCAGCCCTTTCCTGGCCCACCGCACTGGGCAATGGAGGTGACCTGGGATTCTGTAAATGATGCCAGCAACTGGACAAATAACGTGTACAAGGAGTGGTTAATGCATTGGCGTTGGCACCAGGGCTGCTGCTTCTAGGACATTCCACAGGCACAGCACAGCCCGCCCCACCAAGTTACACTGGAATTCAACATCCTCTCCTGTGCCTTCCAGCCACAATGGAGGAGCCCAGCAACACATTTGTGGTACTTACAACAACGCTCTGGGCGGATGCCGTCTTTTTTTTTTTTTTAATTTATCAATATACAGTGTAGTTGATTTTCTTGTCCCCTTACCAACTCCTTCTTTTCCCCCCTCCCTCTCCAGATGTTGTCTTTTTACGTGCCCATTTTACAGATGAGGAGAGTGAAGCCAAGAGAATGGCCCGAGGCCCAACAGCTTGTAAACAGTGGGGCCTCACACCAGGTCTGTGGAACTCCAGGACTGCAGCCAAAAGTGGGGAGACCAGTGCACACCCGAGAGAACTGAAAACTTACATCCACAATATACTTGTCCATAAATGTTCATAGCAACTCTCTTCACGAGAGCCAAAAGATGAAAACAACCCTCATGTCCAACAACAGATGAATGGATAACCAATGTGGTCTGTCCACGTGATGGAATATTATAGAGCCATAAAAAGCAACGAAGACTGATACAAGCCGCATGTGGATGAAGCTTGAAAACGCTGTGCTAAGTGAGAAAACCCAGACACGGGAGGCCAGACATCACATGATTCCATTTATGCAGAACGCCCAGCACAGGCAAATCCACAGAGATGGAAAGTGGACTGGGGGTTGCCAGCGGCTGGGAGGAGGAGGAACAGGGAGTGACTGCTGATGGGTACAGAGTTTCTTTTGGGGGTGACAAGAATATTCTACTATGATATCGCACTCTGTGAATATGCAGAAAACCACTGAACTGTATGCTCAAAAAGTCAATTGAAAAAAAAAAGTGTGGAGACCAGCCTCCTCGAGGCGTCCTGTCAAAAGCCTCCTGTCAGGAGGCTGGCAGGTGTAAACCACCCCCTGCTCTCTGCCAGGGTCCAGCCTGGGCTCATGCCCTGACAGCCAGCTGGGTAGGGTGGGGACATGTAACCACCCCACAGGGTCACCTGTTTTACCTCGGGACTCTGTCTGCCTGAACCAGTCACCCATGCTGTGCCCCGTGTCCCACAGCTTGAAGGAGACTTGCCCAGGTGTGGAACAGCTGTGTCCCAGGCAGTGTCTGAGCACAGAGAGGGCCCTCCCCAAACAACCCCTCACTCTCCGCATGGGCCAAAATGCCAGATGAGGGATCTTCAGGGCACAGCAAGGACCCAGCCTGGCCTCTGACCCCAGACCCCTTCTCTGCAGCCATCTCGGCAGGATTGGTAGCTCCCCCTTCTATGAAACCCCTCTCCAAACCAGCCCCAATGACCTGCCCATCAGCCACCCCAGCCCCTCACCTTCATGGAGTAGAGACCCTTCCACAGCCCCCATCTCGGCAGGATTGGTAGCTCCCCCTTCTATGAAACCCCTCTCCAAACCAGCCCCAATGGCCTGCCCATCAGCCACCCCAGCCCCTCACCTTCATGGAGTAGAGACCCTTCCACAGCCCCATGCTGGCACCTGACCTCCAGGCCTATGCTGGCACTAGCAATGGGCCCAGGTGATCCACCCATCCCAAGGGCCTCACTTCCTCCTCTCCAAAGTGGAATGACAGCCCCTTAAGTGTGGGGTGGTCTAGAGGAAGAAAGCAGGTAAGGCATATGAAGCCCCTCCAGAGGCCTCTTCCAGGAAGCCTTCCAGAACCCTCCCTCCTTTCCTCCCTCTGACAGCATCTTATCAGCACTGCGAGGCTTCAGGGCTCAGCCTGTGCAGGGGACGTGCTCTCTAGAGAGGCCTGCAGGGTGAGCCCCAGCTCAGCTCCCTCTGCCCACATCTGACAGGCCTGGCACGGCCCCAGAGCCAGCTGGGTGTGCAGGGCACTTTATGGTCTGCAGGCCGCTCAGAGGGCTTCACTGCACAGCACTCAGTAAATGTCAGCGCTGTTATTCCGCCACGGGCTCAGAATGGACGAAGGGCGGAGGGAACGAAGTACGAAGGAAGCAGCCCCCTGTGGAAGCATCACTTGGCTCCTCAGAGCCCTTCAGCATGAAGCAATTAGAGCCTCGTGATTATCTGCCATCAGCGGGCTTTGCTGCCTGCACAGAGTCGGCAGCTACGCTCCTGGAGAAGGTGGAAGGGCCGCAAGAGAGACGGCGGAGCTGGCAGCCAGCAGCTGCACAGACCTCTTATGCCAGCACCGGGCTGGCAAGGCTCTGCACAGGGGCCTGGGTCATCCTTGCAGGTGGGAACCTTTCCTGTCCCTGTGGAACACATGAGGAACCAAGCTGGCCTGAGGTCACTATGCAAGGGGAGCAGGGGGGCTGGACTCCCACAGCCACTGCCTTTCTGGTCTCTGGTCACACAGGGATGATGGCACCTCTACTCACAGGGAGCAGCCCAAACTGGGCGTCCACCTCCCCTGCCCCTCCTGAGCTGGGTGTCCACCTCCCAGGGCACTGGCTCCAAGCTGCCCTCCCTTCCCCTCCAGGGCAGGTCAGAGCCCAGGCGAGAGCAGAGGAGAACCTTGGAGGTCTGCTTGGTCATTCCATACATAATCCACAAACTTGAGCTCCTCCACCACCTGAGTTACAAAGCCTGCTCCAGGGCCAGCTGCTAGGCGAGTGACGTGGGCCAACGTGCTGCACAGAGGGGCGACAGCTGGGCCTGGGCAGCCCTGCTTACGTGGCGTCTGGACACTGCCCCGCACTTCCAGCAGCAGCACCACCCCAACTTGGGTCATCATCTCTCATGGCCACGCTGGGCCCTTACAATGCCCAGGGGCCTTCCTGGGAGGCAGGAAGGGGGAAGGAAGAAGGCCACGACTGGCCGTGCGTCCTAGCCCTGACCTGCCTCCCTCAGCTCACCTGGACACGGGTTCCTGGGGTGGGAGTGGAGGGCACTTACATTCTGCAGGGAGTCCTGGTAGGAGGGTGGCAGGGACGCGAGCTGGGACTCCGAGTGGTATGGCGAGAAGCCTTTCCGCAGTGTCCGGAACTCTCCCGAGCCCGCCTGCTGCAGGGGAAAGAGGCAGGAGGAGGTTAGATGGAGGGGCCAGGCCCTGGCCTGAGTCAGGACCTCACGGTGCTGCTGCTGGGAGAGACACTCCAGCCGGGATTCACATGGCCCCCTCCTTACCGCAGGTGGGTCCACTCAACCTGCCTCCTGGGAGGCCCCACCTCCTCACCCTGCCTTCTCTGTCCTCACAGCCTACCAGGAGCTCTTCCGCCCATCCCCCACCAAGTGCCACTGGGGCAGGGCCTCTGTTTCGCTCCCCAGTGTACGCTTCATAGACATTTGCTGACCGGCCGAATAAACAGCAATGAGTGAGTGAAGGAGCGAATAAATAAATGAGTAAATGAGTGGATGAATGAGTGAATGAGTGAGTGAATAAGTGAGAGTGAGTGAGTGAATAAGTGAGAGTGAATGAGGGAGCAAGGGAGTGAGGGAATGAGTGAGTAAATGAGTGAGGGAATGAATGAGTGAGGGAGTGAGTGAGTGAGGGAATGAGTGAGTGAGGGAATGAGTGAGTGAGGGAGTGAGTGAGCGAGTGGCTCTCCCACCCGCAGCTCTCATTCCTCTGTTCCAAGTGCCTGGGGGCACTTGGGTCCCCACACAGGCCACATCCCTCCCCAGGGCCAGGGGATCCGCCTCTCCACCCTCCCGTGGGCTCTGAGGCTCGTTACAGGATGAGCCTCAGCACAGCGCTCTGCTCAGGTTGCCTCCGCCATCAGACAGGGAGCTCCCCAAAGCAGGTCCTGGGCGTTGCTCCTCTGAATGCACAAAGCCAGCGAAAGCTGGGCTCACAGCTAATGCCGTGCATGGGAGGGAGGCAGGGAGGGAGGAAAGCAGGAGGAAGGAGAGGCAGGCAGGCTTGGCCTTTGGTGGTTTCCCGAGAGCAAAGTGTCCCCTGCTGCCCCGCCAGAAGCTGGGGGTGGGACCAGGACCCGGTGAAACTTCTTGATGGGTGACACGCAGTCCAACACTAACCTTCCCCACCAGCCCCATTTCAGGCCAGCAGAAGACACGGCCTTTCCGTCTGCATCACTAAGACAGCGTGTCTGCCCAAACCCTCTTCCCTACTTCAAAGGAACCAAGAGAGAGCATCGGCCAGATAAAATGCTGTGGGAAGCCCCATAAATCAGCAGGCTGTTGAGTTACCCAAACAAGCTGTGGAGGGGAGGAGGCCCGGGCTGGGGCCAGGGCTGGCAGGGACGGGCGGCAGCAGTGCCGGGGGTCCCTCCTCCTCTCATCAGCCTCCCTCTGCCTGCCCAGGAGGGATCCCTGCACATGACCTTCTCACTTCCTGCCAACTGCTGGGCCCAGCCTGTTCCTTGCAGGCCCCCAGCCTCACTGACTCCCCAGGTTCTGTTCTCCCACCCCATCAGATCCCAGGCCAGACCCCCACCCCACCCCTGCTGTGAGGTCCCAGGGCCTCGGCTCTGGGGCTGGCACACAGCAGTGTCCTGCAGGTGTTGGGAAGTGGAGTGGAGCCCCCCGTGGAGGTGCCAGAGGGAAGGGGGCAAGACCCCATCTGAGCTATCACTCCTGATTAAACCCCCAAGTCGCCCGTCGGCCAGAGCAGAACCCGGCTCAAAGGGAAGACTGTCCATGAGGGTGGCAAAGAGGGTCAGGGGTCTGTATCTGCTCAAAGGCCAGGTGGGCAGACACCATGGGGCTGGAGCTGTTTCCTCGGCCTCAGGGATAAACACAGAGGGGAGAGAAATGGGGACCCACCCTCCAGAGTGTAGCAGATTTCATACAGCCCCAGTGACCATCCTCGGAAAAAGAGTCTCACCAGGGGGAACTTGGGGACAGCCTTTAATCATAAAACTGGACTGTCACAGCTCTGATCATGGCCCTATCTGGCTTAACCCAAGGCATTAAAGGCCACAATATGTTAACCCTCCCTGACCCAGCTGGAATCAGATCAAGTGGAGCCCCCTTCCACCAGGTACCAAAAAGAGAAAAAGGCCACAGATCCACCCCCGGGGCCCAGCACTCACTCACCCCGGCCATGAGTGAGGCCCCCTGACACACACACACAGAGCCACCCATGCCTTCCCCGAGTGGTGCACCCCAGCTCCATTCAAAGACAAGAATCCCAAACCAAGTTATTCTCCTGGCCAGATCTCTGCAGTGGCTATACAAAAGGGTGTGTTCCAAACCTGAGCACACACGGTAGGTAGGACGTGCTAGGACTCTACCCTCCCACACCGTTCTGTGGGAGCATCCCCTGCTGCCTTGCCAAGGCTAGTAGGAGAAGTAGAGACCAGGTGCAGGATGCCAGCCCAGACCAACACACACACTCAGGGAGGTCCACGTGGTCACACAGCCACGGTTCTCTCCCGCCAGCCCTGGGACCAGGGCAGCTGGGCTTGCCCCATCCTTACCCACACACTGTCACATTCTGTTTCAGGCTCTGACCCTTGATCAAATGGGTTCCTGAGCAGCCCATGGGCTGGTATGGAAAACTCCGGTTGTGCTGTCGTCTCCCCAGATAATTTCCTTGGGAGGAGGTGCGTGTACAGGGGCAGGGGAATTTTTTTAATTAGCAGCATGCAATTGCCACCCCTGCCTTCCATGAGCACCAATAAATATTTGTGTGTCCATAGAACTGTATTAGCAAGCCACAAAGCCAGGCAGGAGAAATGCACAATCTCTCATTAAGGGGCAATGTGACTAATGATGCATCAAATGAGTAACCATTATTGCACTTAAATCCAAATTAAAAATCCTGCTATTTGCCGCCTTGATCCCTCTGCTGAATGAGATCCCTAGGTTCTCATCACTGAGGGGAAGCAGGAGCTGACATCACCTTCCCGGCTGGGTCTGCACATGGAGGGGGGCATGTAGCTAAGGCAGCTGCCTGTCCTTTGAGAGACATGCTGCACTCCACAGAAGAGGATGCCCACCCCCAGTCTCCCTAAGGCAGATCCCTCAGGACCCAGGGAGAAATCTTACACACAGAGTGGCTGGCAGCCTGCTCAGAGCTGGAACTAAATTCCTCAAATCCTTAAAACTGTGGGTCCCAGCCCTGCAAACACACGTGGCCCCTTTGTGGGTATCCAATCCCCATCACGCACTCCTAGGGCTTCTGAAGGTCAGCATAGAGTTCTGGACCAGGAGAGCAGAGACCCAGGAGGCCTCAGAGTTCAGAACATCACTGGCCTCTGTCCAGGGCCTTCCCTGCAATGAGGTCCTGCTGAGAGCCAGGCACAGCTCCTCCTTGGGCCTCTGTGATGTGGCCAGAGGCTCTGCAGCAGAAAGACCATCCAGGGCATCGCCTTCCTGGGACTCCTGCTTGCAAAGCTGCAGGGGGCTCATCTGGGGCCACCCAGGGGAGCACTGTCCAGAAAATGCTGGAAAATGGCTCCCCATCTGGCTGGCCATGCTGGAGGACCCACCCGGGAGCAGGCAGCTGGATTGCATGACTCCGAGAGACCCCAGGGGCAGCCGGAGCTGCTGACTGAGGTGGGCTCCATGGTCCTGATCCAGACCAAAGCCCACTGGGATCCAGGCTGTGACATGTCTCAGGTGGGGTCCCTAGAGGGGGGAGCTCGCAGGAGATGGGGAAGGAAGCAGGACAGGGCAGGGAAAAGAGCTGGGCAAAGCGGCGTCTCGGCAGAAGACTGGCCTCCGCCTGACCCCACGGGGGGCCAGAGTTGGCCCCACTTAGTCACGGCTGTGGGTTGCTGAGGAAGGGGTGTACCCTCGGCACTCGGTAATGACCTTGGTTCATCATCTGCCCTGGCAGGACAGGTGTGGTTCACATCCCAGCGCCAAGCCTGGGGCCTGGCACGGTCATGTTGCTCTAGGTCTGTGGTTCTCAGCTGGGGGTTATCCTCCCTCCAGGGGAAATCGGCAAAGTCTGCAGACATTTTTGGTTGTCACAACTGGGGTGGTGGGTACTACAATCTAGTGGGTGGAAGCCAGTGAGACTGCTGACCACCCCACAATGCACAGAACAGCCCCCACACCCACAGTGCTGAGGTTGAGGACCCTGCACTAGCTGAGCCTTAGGCTGGGGGCTGGTGGAAGACCCTTAGAGGGCAGCAGGACAGGGCAGGATGTTCTGGGGTGGGTAATCTCAGAACTGGGAGAAGGGGACAGAGAGGAACCATCCAGAGGCCTGGGGGCTGGCAGGAGAATTGCCAGTGCCTGAAAGGCCCAGCTCCCTGGGTCTCGGGGCTGGGCACAGGGGGAGCTGTGTTGGCCCAGTCCCTCCCCAGCCATAGGCCATCCCACAGGGCTCAAATGGCAGCTCATGCCCAGGGACTCCCGCTGGCCCTGAGGACGCGCAGCCCATGCAGAATCGAGCCCAGTGCCCGGCAGGCTCAGCAGCCCCGAAGACCTCACTTGAGCATCTGGGCCTCCTCTCACCATGCACTGTGGGTTTCTCACTGCCAAGTAGGGGTTACCACCAGCCCTGTCACCCTCACACGTCGGGAGGACCCAGCGAGGGGTGAGTGAGAAAGGACGCTATGTGGCCTGCCTACGGGAGGGGTCACCTCATGGTTCCTTTGCTTAAACAGGGGAGATCCCAAGAGGAACCTGAAGGTAGGATGTGTACCCTGGGAGGGAAGTGCTCCTAGGAGAGGAGCTGGGGAGGAGGACACAGCAGACAGGAGCACACAGCACTCAGAGCACCACTGCAAACACCAGGCAGCTCTACCTGAAGCCAGCTCCTCGGGCGGCTGTAGGGGCGGGGCAGCTGGAAGGAAGGAGAACAGTGTCACCCAGCAAACACAAACTACGACCCCGTCACGTCTGCCCAGTCCCTTCCCCAGACACCTATGGGCCCAAAGCCACCAGCATGTCAGCTGAGCCAGAGTGGTTTTCCCACACCGACGGCTGGGGCAGGGAGTCACCAAGGAGGCTCACAAGAGCTCCGTGTGTTTAGAACCTCCAGATTCAACAAGGACTAACTGAGCACCTGCTATGCACCAGGCACCAGGTGCTAAGGGGGGTCCACGCCACTCACAGCCCACCCCGAAGCTCACACAGAATGTAGC